CGCGGTTCGACCATCGCGGATTCACGTATATACATAATGTAATGAAAAAAGTCCGCGAAGTCGTGAATCCGCGATGGTCGAACCGCGAAGTAGCGAGGGTTCACTGTACACTATTTGCCTGTAACCAACAGGAGCATATTTGCTTCTATGAATTATTGAAAAACAGACATTTCCATCTACTTTTTAAAAACTAATTTGTGTCTGATATGGTTAAACTCATTTTTTCTGGGCCTTTTAGCATGCCGTCTAGTCATAAATACTGAGTGCTTGCTTTTTTACCTCTTGCTACTAGGAATGTAAGAAAGTAGTTGACTAACCAATAAGCCTAGGCTTATCAATTAGTTGAATTGTGGCTCTGCAGTTTAAATGTACTAGGAGCCGGGTTGCCTGCCTGCCCTGCTCTTACTGCATTGAAACTGCAGAGTCACAACGGAGGTAGCTCCCAGACCTGGCGCTAGCAGGTACTGAGCACCTTCCTTTATCAACTATCAACTACACGATTAGTGAAATACCCACGTCTTAACATGCCTTCTTGCTATTACTGTAGCCAGTGTTACATTATATAATGCTTTGTCCAAGATTGCCATTTTCGAGTGACATCTTAGTAGTTGAAAAGCAAGCAATCCAGCATTAGCAGCTTCACTTTTGTTAATTACCTCCTCTTGACTGTTATACCACTTAACTATATTTTAGCAATAAAAGCAGTACAAACCCCTACTATCGATGCAGTTATATTAGTATAAGACCTTTTCTACTTTTATAACTCTGTACTGCTATAACTTTGTTTTTCAGCGCCAAAAAAAAAATAAAATAAAAATCACACCTGCATATGGCTTTAGTTTAGCTTAATGGTTTTGTTTGCTCAATTTTCACTTTGTTCCTTGAAAAAAAAAGGGGGTTCTTTTAGAATTAGTGACAGTGAGTATTTTTTCTACTTTAGGTAATGAATATGCTGCTTTTGGTTATGAAATGTCACATATGTTTTCTCAATTTTTCTGAGATAATTTCAAATGAAAGTCAGACTCTGATGAAAGTCCTATAAAAGATCAGGTTTTGGCATTGGAATTTACTGCATCAACGAAAGTCCAAATCTTTAATTTTTAAGATTTTACAAAGCATCACTGTTTGTTAGTACTCTTTCATGTACTGAAAATGCTAAACAAAATAATTCAGTAAATTAGGTAATTATACAGGCCATAAATTACCAGAAATGTCAAATAATATAAACAGTTGGAAATGTATGTTTTCATTTATCATGTAAATTCATTTTTGAACAGTTTTTTTTTCTCTCTTGAAGATATCTTCATTGTCTTTCTGAGAGGGAAACTGTCATCTGTAGTGACTTCATAACCTAAAGACATTTATTAGGTTTCCCTTTGCATATTAGATGCTAAACTTCACTCTGTTCATATCCCTGGAAAATAGTGTATTTGAAAACATAAATATAGCTAAAACTCATTTAATGGTGATACTGATGCACTTTTATATTAAAATAGATTTATAAACAATCTTTATTATATCATTGGAGATACATATTATCACTTCTTGCAGATCTGGAAACTGAAACACACATGAAGTTATTTCCCCAAAGAAGTACAGGCAGTCCCCGACTTACGCGGATCCGACTTATGTCGGATCCGCAGTTACGAACGGGGCTGCCCCAGAGTACACGGACTGCGGGACCTCGCGGTCCTGCCGCCCATGTACTCTGGGGCTTTCTCTGCGTCTCCCTGGTCTGCAGACCAGGAAGACGCAGAGCAAAGCCGCGGAGGGGCTCGGGCAGCGGGGCACCCCAGGCGCGCCTGGGCTACTCCGCTGCCGGCTTCCCCGA